ATATATATGTATATAATACTAAAACATCTGGCAATCATAAGCATCACAATGATTATCTAGAAAAGAGTAAATGAAAGGCAATTGAGGAAGTATTTTATATCTTTACACAGACTTGAGGTGTGTACAGCAAACTGCTACAATTTGATAGAGCTGGGTGATGGCACTAAAATTTAGGGTTTTTTCTTATGTGTGTTTGACATTTTCATAAATATAATTGATATCAATTCTTTATTTTTATAGATAGTATTGCTTTTCTCTTCAAAATAAATGTCTGCATTTCTACCATGAACTTTAAAGAAAGAGATTAAGTAGAAAGTGTGTCTGTATACGGTTATGACAAAATCCTGTGGATGTCACAGTGTGTGACTGAGGTTGGGAAATACTGATAATGGCTTCCACTGTTCCTTTTTTTTTTTTTGGTATTGGGGTCAAACTCGGGACCTTGCTGTTGGGAGGCAGGCGGTGGAACCACTGAGCTAAATCCCCAGCCCTCCACTGTTCCTTTTTACCTTGTGTAAAAAGAGTTTTTCAGGGCCTCAAAACCAAATTCAAAGTTCAATTGAAAGTACCAACGTTGGTCATTCTTTGACAAAATTTTACTCTTTTTTGGGGGGATAGGGTTTGGTTATTCCCAGTCTTATTTTTCTGCCTTATTATTATTTCATTATGTGTATTTCAGGGCATTGAGGACTGACACATGCTGGGTGCCGCCCTGCCTCCCCCAGACCTCATCATGCTCTGGAAAATCTATGTGGACTCTCTCAGGTAGACGTCATCTCCCTTCACAGGGAATCTGCCTGGCCAAAGTTCTCCCATATGAATAGAACAACTGTGATAAACAGCAAATACACTCTGTCAGGTCCCTTGCCCAAGCAGAACAGAGAAAACACCCCACAGCAGCCGGCCCCACAGTAGCCCTGCACCGAGCTCCTCATGCCTAGAAGAAAGGTACAGCAACAGGACAGGAAGCCAAAACACAGGGGAGAGGAACATGTGGTCCCCCCACCCCCTGCACCCAGCAACACCTGCAGGCCCGGATGCCCAGCAACCACAAGAAGCATCCTGTTCCCCCACAGACCTCCTCCTCTACAAGTCTCAACCTGCCTGTGGAGAACAAGTCTCAAAAATTTCCACTCTCCTCGATGACCTCTCCTCCCCTCCCCAACCCACCCTATAAGTCTCCTTCCGCCCTGCCCTGGAGGCCAACGGTCTTTTCACCCTTGGCTCACCTACACCTAGGCTGAAATAAACTCTGCTTGTTGCTTTAACTTCGCCTGACTCAGTGGTCTCCGTCGTGCCTCAATTTACTCTAACACATTCCATGAAAATTTGCAAGCGAATGACACACAGTAAGTCCTCTGGTGGCATTTTAAAAAAAATTTTTTTTTGGTACCAGGGATGGAACTCAGGTCCTTGCGCTTGCAAGGCAAGCGACGGAACCACTGAACTAAATCCCCGGCCCATCTGGTGGCATTTTATATGCTGAATTATTGCCTATATCTGAGTCTAGAATAGCTGTGAACCAGCCATGGTGGTGAATGCCTGTAATCCCGGTACTGTGGAAGGCTGAGGGAAGAGGATCACAGGTTCAAACCCAGCTTAGGGAATTTAGTGATTTAGTGAGAACTTGCCTCAAAATTAAAAATTAATAAATAGATTTTTAAAATAGTGGTAACCCACTTTTCGGTCCCCCTCCTGTCTTAGGCAGAAGTTGTCTTTCTCTCAATAAATTTTTCCTGGGCCTGGGGATTTAGCTCAATGGCACTGCACTTGCCTTGCAAAGCAGGGTCCTGAGTTCTACCTCAGGTACTTTTAAAAAAAAAGCACTTGTGAAAGTACTAATTCCTCACATGTATAAAGCAGCCTTAGTGCAGAGCCCCAGGGGCATGCTTAACATGCCAGAATGAAACCTGTCTGTTTACAGGAGTCTGTGTTAGTTCCAAAGGTTAGACGTGAGATTTTAGGATTCTGGTAGAAAACTGGGACGTGGAAGGGTGGACTCTGAGGATCACTGAAAGACGCGGGGCTGGAAGAGACCGCACCCTATCTGACAGAACATGTGCACAGGCCACGTGACAAAGTTCACGAAATGGGAAAGTTGTCACAGTAAACTTCCTCCCGTATGATGGGAGAGTCTGTTAATCTGTGTTGCTTTAAGCTCTACGTGGACCTTTGGTTCATCCTGACAACTCAAGAAGAATCCGGGCAGCATGTATCCGTTCATGGGACAATTCAAGTGCTACAAGATTTTGACTGTGGGGTTGGTCTTTCTGGTTTGGGTGAGTACTTCACATGCCTGCAGCCTCTCTTGTTGCTGGCTCATCTTCTCTCCCTGTATAATCTCGTATTTGGATTGGTTAAGTGCTCTTAGCTAGGAGAGGGGACTCAGAGAAGCCCTCAGCCTTCTTTCCTCCACCCCTACGGGATTCCAGGGACAACAGTTGCATAGTATGGTGTCAGTCGAAGGAGAGGGCTGAGCAAGTTGGTGCTTGAGGTCTATCTGAAATCTAAAACCTAACATCAGAAGAGGTTGTTCTCAGGAAATTCCAATGATGAAAAAAGAATAAGCAACTTACATTGTTCTTTACTCTTTGATCTTTGGAAGATATTTTTGTTGCGGTTGGAGACGGGTGGAGGCTGCCTACAGCGAAGCAAAGTTGTACTTTGATTCAGCAAGCATGCAAGAGGACAGCTGGTTCTCTCAGTGAGACAGGCAGGAACGCCCGAAACGGAGTCACTGTTGAAAAGGGGCTCAAGGGGTTTATTTTATAGTGTCCAAGGACCCACCCTGTCTCTGGGCTGAGGGCGCCCCTACTTGATTGTCTAATTGGTTGATATGGCTCCTTACTAGGGAAGGGTCCTGGGGGGCTTTCACACCTTAGGGTCAAATTTCCTTTTTTCTGTTTTGATCTTAGCAAACCAAGCTTTTCAGGGGACAGCATAACGGCAGGCTGTCGGAGCTTCACAGGTGGTTAAGCCTTGTTCTGCCACCTATCTAAAAACTCCTTTGGGCGTGGGGGCATCCCTCATCTTTCCCTGCCTAGGGTTCTCTATCCTTACATTTTCTGCTCCAGTGTAAGAAAAAGATGGACGTCTATGGTGTCCAGCTGTGCTTTTTAGCAGGCAGAAAAAGAGGCAGGGAATCAGAAAAAAAAAAAAAATCCAATCTGGAGAAAGTGAGCAATTGCTGCAGTTACCATAATTTTGTGGCTCTTTTGAGGAGTAGCAGGAAGCCAAAAGGTCTTCAAAATAAAGCACTTGCCTATCAGGTGAAAGGAGAATTTCAACAGTAGATAATTTGTGGACTGTTTACATTCATGTATATAATAGTTGAGAGAGTTGTTGATATTTCAACAGTAGGATTTTTGTATAGAAATAACAATATTTTTACTCTTCTTTTAAAAAGTGGATGATTTGCAATATAGTTTCATAAATTGGCCTTTATTCTAAGAGCAGTGAGTTTAATAGGGAAATCCTAAATCCTTAACAACCAAGTCTAAAGAAAGTGTCGATTTCATTTGTAGAATAGCTTTGTACTGAATGAAAGGGTGAGTTTTTTTATGTATAGCAGTCAAAACTTTCCACTCTTTAAAAGAAGTTAAACTATAACACGCATAAAAATACATATAGTCATAAGTGCTTAATGAAAATCAGACACCACACCTATGTGATCGCAGTCCAAGTCAAGAAATAGAAATTACCATCACCCTTAGAATCCTCCTCTTGTGCCACCATTCCTGACACTACCACCCTCTTGGACATAAAATGGGCACCTGGACTTTTGACATTATTGTGAATTTTTGCCTACTTTTGAGTCTCAGAAAAGTAATCATGGGGTAGGGGAAAGGAAAGAAGGGAATGGAAACAAAATCTTTGTAAGTAGGGAGAGATGGAGGGGTTGAAGGGAGGGCAGGGGAAGGGGGAAAAATAAGGACCAAGAGAGATTATGTAAAGGTGCATATCTCCAAAGATGAATGTCATTATACTGTATACCTAAAATGTACTAATAAAATTAATTTAAAAAGAAAAGTAATCATAGACCATGTACTTCATGTGTACAATATTTTTGGAAGACTCATCTATGTTATCATGTGAAGATGTAGTTTGTTAATTTTGATGTCATAACAGTATTTTGGTATATAAAAATACCAAATTCACTTATCTGTTCTGTTGTTGATAGATATGTACGTTGTTTTCAGTTTGGGGCTAGTTAAGATAACTGCTACTGGGCCAGGGATTTAGCTCAGTGATTCCACCGCCTGCCTTGCAAGCACCAGGTCCCATGTTCAATCCCCGGTACCAAAAAAAAAAAAGATACTGCTACTATAAACAGGTACACCCCCCCCATTGGGTATGCTGTATATTATACCTATGAGCTAAACTGCTTGGTCCTAGACTATGTATACATTAAACTTTAGTAGATACTGAGAGTTTTCCAAGTGGTTTTTCCAATTTGTTCTTCTCACACAGCACGAGAGGTTCAGTTGCTTCCCATCCTTGCCAACATTGTTATTGTTTGTCATTTAATTTTATCCTTTCTTTGAATATGTAGAGGTATTCCATTATGGTTTTAACTTACATTTATTTTCTTACTAATTCATCTTAATAATACATCTACTCATGTATTTGCTGATCTTTTGAATTCTCCTTTTGAGTGAAATGCCTGTTATTAACTTTTATTTTTTTTATTTTTAT